GCGATGCGCCCGTGCAATTCGGTGACACGCCAGTGGGCCGGTTCCTGAATTCTTGTCGCTTCGCGTACCCCGACCAACCTATCCAGAAGTTTTCTCCCTGATAGCTGACAGGAGAAGGGAATCGGAGACATGCGTACTGAAATAGCGCGTTCAACACGGGTGAACTCTGAGAGCTCTGGGAGCAAATGGTGTCAGCTCTGCTGGTGTTGGAGGTGCTGCTGATGTTCATGATGCTGCTGATGTTTGGGCTGCTGATTTTATGAGTGCTGGTGCTTCAGGTGCTTGTGCTGTTGCTGGGTTTCCTATTGATGCTGCTGCGGGTGCGCTTGCTGTTCGTGCCGTTGTTGCTATTGCTTGTGGCGGTGCTGGTGCTTCTGCTGGTGGCGGTGTCGGCGCTGCTGGTGGTGCTGATTGTGGCGGCCCTGCTGGAAGTGGAGTTGTCGCCGGGGCCATCTTTGGGCTAGGAGCAGAAAGAGGAGGAGGAGGAGGAGGAGGAGGAGGAGGAGGAGGAGGAGGAGGAGGAGGAGAGAGAGGAGGAGGAGGAGGAGAGAGGAGGAGGAGGAGGAGGGGGAGGGGGAGGGGGGGGAGGAGGAGGAGGAGGGGGAGGAGGAGGAGGAGGAGGGGGGAGGGGGAGAAGGAGGAGGAGGAGGGGGAGAAGGGGAGGAGGAGAAAGGAAGGAGGCGGAGGAGGAGGAGGAAGAGGAGGTGGGGGAGGAGGAGGAAGAGGACGATGATGATGAGGAGGAGGACGACGACGAGGAGGATGGGGGGGGGGACAATGAGGAGACGGAGGAGTAGGACGAGCAGGAAGTGCAGAAGGAACAGCAGCAGGAGGAGCGGGAGGAAAAAGAGCAGCAATGCGGCACGAGCAAGATGAGGAGCAGGAGGGAGCATGCAAGAATGGAGGAAGGAAGGGGGGAAAAAAAGGGGGTTTAACAGAGGGGCTGCTGCAGACCATTGACGCCCCAAGGGGCTGTTGGGATTCCCAATGCTTCTGGCAGTTGCGGAAACGTGGCCCAACCGAGAGAGCGCTGGAATTGAAACGAATTCGCGGGCACTTGGAATGCTCATACTGCGACCAGTTGCTTGTGACCGAGCGGCCTAAGAAGAAAACGCATACTCCCCGGGAGGGTTGTATTGAGTGGAGAAAGGTCACCACCAGGGACTTGGCCGACGCGGCCGCGTGGTCATTTTCGAGTTCGAAACGAAATCACATCCTGCCGGCGACATCGCAGTGGACAGGATCGCGATGTTAGCCGAATCCTTGGATCCTGCGAGCGTAGATGCTCTCGTCGCGCGGTTGAAGGTAATAAGCGATGCCAAGAAAAAGTTTGTTCCACAGGACGCAGAGGATTCCCCCGGATTGCGTGGGCGTGGGTTTCGCACTGACTTCGACACGCCTTTGACGATCGTGAAGGACGCCCAGATGTTGCACAAGGATTTTGCGCCACGGTCGACGGTGCCGCGGGAGGTCGGCGCACTTTCTGTGCGAATAGGGGAGCCGCAGTGGTGGGGGAATGATACGCTCGCCTCACGGGTCGCCGCCACGGTCGAGTGGTTCGACCGGCGGGAGGTCGTATCGGCGGCGTTTCTGGACGCGAAGCAAAAGGAAGCGCTGTCCAAAGACATGTGTCTCGTTGCGCGAGTGAACAGGCGGTGCCGCGACGACGCGCCATCCCCCCAATTCGCGCGCCAGCACTGCCGGAAGAATGTCAACCCCGACCATGACCTTCTTCAGGAACATGTGCAGCTCATGGTGAATATTTTCATTGCTCGGAATACTCTGTCGCACAGCGCGCGGGAGGGCCTCAAGGCTGGTGTTTTCGTGTGGGGCAAGGTCTCATTGGAGACGGGCGACGTCGCAAATCTGGATGACCTTTTCACGCATTACGCATCTGTGAAAGGCGACGTCTTCGGGACCTTTGTGAATCCGATGCGCCTCCGTAAAGAGATGAAGTTGGAGGGGTTTTATGTATTCATCGCGGCATTGCAGATGCTCTCGCGTCGAATTCGCTCTCCCTTGCAGGAGTTCGCGTCTTCGTGGGATCTGGCGCGTTTCTTTCGCGCCTTGCAGGGCATTCCGGGGCGCGGTGGCTCCGGGTTTCGGGCGAAGGAGCTCCTCTCGGACTTCGCGGCCACGTTGCCCGTGCTCGCACCGCGCATCGGCCCAGTCAACATTGACTCCGTGAGTGCGGCGTTCCAGGAAATTCGCGCTATAGGCGCGGGCCCGTGCCGGACGGCGAATTTCTTGCTGAACGGGCCTTTCTTCCTGAACGAGGAGGCCCAAGCTGCAGACAAGGAAGACGAATACCTAAATGCTTTGACGTACATCGTGGAGTATCTTCGCAAAAAAGTACAAATCACAGTGCGCTCATCGGTCCTTTCTCGACATATGCTACGAGCTGTGCGAATGCACTAAGCAACTTCTCAGCGCGCACCCAATGAGGGGAAGCCTTGCTCGCCCACGTCATACAAGGAAGGGGGTGCAAAGCACATGGCCCCCGCGGCAGCTCGCGCGGAAAGGGGCAGCATTGCTTGAAGCTCATCAGCGCCGCGAGCGGTGGTTCACGCTGTCATGTCAGAAGTGGCTCGAGGTGACAGAGTACGAGATGCGCGGGCTGTAGGGCCCTCCGCAGATATATCCAGCTGCCTGCGGCAAGTCCCGCCGCCGTGCCCACCCAGGTTTAATTTGGCCGATGGACCATGGTAGCCGGCCCCGCTGGGTGAAATTGCCGATCCAAGCCGAAATGGCACTTTTCTATGGAATCTGGGAAGCCAACGAAAACTCGAATCAGGCAGAAAAATCGTTGAACGACAGAAGTCGCAAAGGTCGCAAGTCGCAAGTCTTTGTTTGCACAAGTTCGCAGCAAGTTGGCCTTGCAGCGGCCCATCCATGGAAGCTCGGGAGCGAGGGGAAGCGCGAGGGGGATGGAATCTCGGAAACAAGGGCCTCCAATATTGCACAAAAGCGAAAAGGAAATAATTAGCCTGGCGAAAAAGACCCGCCCATATGCAAGTGCGAGTGCCGCAGGGCAGGCGGGGCGAAAGATGGGGCGCCCCCTATTGGGCCACGAACCGCATGGGGGGCGTGCCGACGCTGAAGGGGGATCCGAAGGAAGGCCTCAGGAAGGCCGCGGAATCGGGGCAGCTTCTTTTCGAAGTGCGGTCTCTCGGAGGGCCTCGCAGAGAAGTTTTTGAAGCCCCATCGCGGCTCTGTAGAGAGAGCGTGAGAGTCCTCGGGGAGCCTCTTGGCCGTATTGGAATGCTCTCGGCGGTCCCTTGGGCCGTCTTGGACGTTTGCATGGCGAAAAAAGCGAGTGAGCGAAACAGGTGCGTTTCCTATAGGACTCAGAACATGGTAGACTAGTCTGGCTCTCTCGGCGGCCATCCAGGAGCACTCTTGGGCCGTCTTGGGGGCCGCGTGGGTCGCCGCGCACCCGTGTCGGGCCGTCGTTGGATTACATTGGGACATTTTAAAGCCCGATCGAATTATCTTGGCGCTGTGTGCGACCCCTCCCGGGCTGTTTCGAGCTCTTCGCGAGGCTCCAGGTCAAGCGTTCGCGAAGTCATAGGCCCGGGGAAGGCCCCCCTCAAAACGCCATTTTGGGCCCCAGGGAATCGGGGAGAGTTGAGGGGCACAGCCAAATGTCTCACGCGGATCATCCCCCCCCCCCCCCCCAAGTGGGAGTGGGCGGATTTTTAAAGATTCGCGCGGCAGTGGGCATATCAGAGAAAACTGCGGTCGTCGGCGCCACGCTGTGGCCCGCGTATGGCCGGGAGGGGCTGTCCCGCAGTTGGCGACCGTCATTTTGCATGCTCCACTCCAATTGCACATGTGTACTTCAATTCTTCGCTTGTCAGTGCACATCTCACAGGAATGGTGGTCGTTGGCCAGCGGCCTCTGGCCCCCCCAGGCCTTTAATTGGTTTTGATTGCTGCGCACGGCAGCGAGCATCTTAGAATAATGTTGACCGTTGACGCCGCGATGTGTTTCGCGCATGGCCGCCGGGCGCGGGGGCTGACATGTCGAGCTCCCCGCCCGAAGAGCACCCCAGGAGTCCAAGAGGTCCCCAGGAGACCCCCAGCAGGCCCCCAAGAAGCCCCAAGAGGCCTCGAGAGGCCTCCAGCAAGCCCCCAGAAACGCCCAAGAGAGCACTGGGACTGCCCCAACAAGACCCCGGGACGGCCGGAGGCGCCTCGACAAAACCCTCACAGCGTCAAACGGACAACGCGGGAACCAACGTCATGCGCGCAGTAGGCATTCTCTCCTTTGCTGTTCTGTTTTCTCGCAAGTCACGCCCACTTGTCCTCCAAGGTCGGGGTTCGTGGCAATATCAGGTTTTTCCCCGACCTGGCGGAAGGGGTTCCCGTTCAGTGTCCCCCTGGGGGGTCTGGGGGGGGGCCCCGGGGCGCGGCCCCGGCGACGGGCGGAACGCCTGCAGAAGACGGCGGAAGACGGCACCACGCGGCCCCATTTCTGCAGACGCGCCTCCGGGAGGCACGGACGGCCCCAAGATGGTTCACAAGATGGTCCAAGAAGGGTTCGAGTCGCCGAAAGATCGGCCAAAGACGCCCCAGAGGGGTCCAAGATGGCCCACGAGGCCGCCAAGACACCCCAAGAGGCCTCCAAGAAGCCGCCCAAGAGAGCCCCACAAGGCCAACATCGTTCATTTTTCGTAGGTTTTTGACAGATGTTTGCCTTCGCGCCATCTCGGCTTTCCGACGCTACAAGACGGCCCAAGAGGCTTCCAAGACTGCCCCAAGACCGCCCAAGAGGCCCCCAAGACGGCCCAAGAGAGGCCCAAGACGGCCCAGGAGAGGGGCCACGAACCGAAAATTCAGCTTTCCGCCCTACAAGGCCCGCAGAAGGCCCCAAGAAGCCCCCAAGAGGCCTCCGTAGCCATTTTGGCTCAAGCCATTTTGGGTCAAGCGTGGCTCGACAGCTCCGACTTTGGGGTTCGCGCCCCCCGCGCGTTTCGGCACTGGGCGCGGCCGCCTGAGGCGAGCGTGGCGTGCCCCATCAACTGCCACTGCGACTATGGCATGTCTGGCATCTTGTTGGGCATATGTGTAATCCTCGCCGCGGGCGTGTTCACCTGCTTTCCCGTCTTCCTGCATTGGTTCGCGTGGGAGTGGTACTTCGACCTGTGCTGGCTCTGGTTTTGCCTCGGGGTCGTCACTCTGACGTTCGGCTGCGTCTGCGAGTGCTGCGTCGGCGCCCCCGACGCGAAGGCCCGGAAGGCAGAGGCGGGCGTCGAGGACGGCGCCGTGAATGCCCGTGCGCTTTACATTCTGATCAACAACTGGTGAGTTTTGAGCCCGAGTTCGACGCTGCGCCTGTTGAGCTTGTAGACCGTTCATCATGTGTGTCCTCCACATGTTGCGATCTGCGTTGCCCCGGGTACGCTCGCACAAACTTGCTTTATGGCAGTTGGGGCGTTCAATCTTGAGACAGACTCAGGTGACATGAGCATTGCTGCAGAGCGGAGCGGGGAGAAAAAAAAGAAGCCCCCAAGAGGCCTCAACAAGCGCCCCAGAGGCCCCCTGGAAGCCCCAAGAGGCCCCCAAGAGGCCCAAATAAGGCCCCAAAGCAGCTCCCGAAACGCTTCAAATCAGCTTTCCAGAGGCCGCCGAGAGGCCAACCACGATTACGCAGCTTTCTTCGTCGGACGTTTTCCTTGTCCAGGAGTCTATGAGATACCTAAGGAACAGGCCACTTTGGCCATGCAGTAGGCTACCCTACCAGACAGCCTACCACACAGCGCACCTTGCGAGTACGTGCGTCGACAAACTCCGTCAGACGGAGTTTGGCCACGACCGCTCCCCCTGGGACCGGTCTTGGGGCGCCCTCGATGCCTTGTTGAAGCCCTACCTGGCCCTCCCTGGTTGCCTTGGGGAGACCCACGTGAGCCCCTAGACGTCCCCAAGACGCCCACGGGCCCCCAAACCTGCTTCTCTCGCCCTGTGCCAGCAAGGCAAATTGATGCACGCAGTTTTCACTCCGGCCGCTTCGCCGACGTCCACGACGACGACGACGAAAACGCCAACGACGACGACGACAGGCGGAGTCAAAACTGTGCACATCAATCGTCGATGGTCGTCGTCGTCTTCGTCGTCCTCGTCGTCGACGTCTTCGGCGCCTGACTGTCTTGCCCTGTGCCAGCGGAGCAAATTGATGTGCGCAGTTTTGACTCCGGCCGCCTCGCCGACGCCCACGACGACGACGACGGCGGCGACGACGAAGACGCCAACGACGACGACGACGACGACGACGGCCGGAGTCAAAACTGTGTGTGTACATCAATCGTCGTGGATCGTCGTCGTCTTCGTCGTTTTCGTCGGCGTCGTCTCCGGCGCCTGCCTCTCTCGCCCTGTGCCAGCGGTGCATATTGATGTACGCAGTTTTGTCTCCGGCCGCCTCGCCGACGTCCACGACGACGACGAGGGCGAAGACGCCGACGACGACGACGACGACGACGACGACGACGACGACGACGACGACGACGACGTCGACGACGACGACGACGACGACGACGGCCGGAGTCAAAACTGCGCACATCAAAATGCCCCGCTGGCGCAAGGCGAGAGAGGCAGGCGCCGGAGACGACGCCGACGAGGACGACGAAGACGACGACGATAGGTAGAGAGGGGCCCTATGATGATGCAAGGTGGCGGAGAAAGGCGAGGAGGAGAAGGATGAGGACCAAAAGGAGGGAGGAGGAAAAGGAGGAGGAGGAGGAGGAGCGAAAACAGGGAGTTCATTATGATCTCTTGCCCCCCTGAAGTCCTTTTCGTTGGGCTGGGGCCGAAACTGTGCACTGACTTCGGGCTCAGATGCATTCGGGCCCATAATGCGCCCCTCTGTCGAGGTCTTCCTCCCGTTTCCCGTCTTCAGGGAGGCCCCGACTGAGCGACGAGGGCACTTGCGTATCATAGTATGTCCTAGGTTTCGCGCCTCTCCCACCCCTCCAAGGAGGCCCAGCCAGAGCGGGGAGGCAATCGGCATGAGGCATGCCATGTTATTGGTCAGGATTCGCGCCCCTTCCCCTCCCCCAGGGAGGCCCGACCAGAGCGAGGACGGCGAAGGTGTTCTCCGTAAGCCCGCGAGTCAATCAAAGTTTGCTTGGGGGGACTCCGATAGCATAATTTGGGGAGCTTCTTCGTGGCAGCTTGGGATTCTTCGAAGCCTCTTGCCGATTGGGGCCATATTTTGTGTTCTCCTTCTTGAGGCCGGGGGCCTTCTTGGGGATCTCTCGGGCCATCTGGCAGGCGCCTAGGCCTGTCTTGGAGCCCTCTTGGGCCGTCTTCGGGCCATCTTAGGGGCCTGACGGGCCGCGTTGGAATGCTCTTGGCGGTTCCTTGGGCCGTCTTGGACGCTTGCATGACGAAAAACGCGAGTGAGCGAAACAGGTACGTTTCCTATAGGACTCAGAACATGGTAGACTCTTCTGGCTCTCTCGGCGGCCATCTAGGAGCACTCCTGGGCCGTCTTGGGGGCCGCGTGGGTCACCTCGCACCCGTGTCGGACCGTCGTGGGATTACATTGGGTCATTTTAAAGCCCAATCGAATTATATTGGCGCTGTGTGTGAGCCCTCCTGGGCTGTTTCGAGCTCTTTTAAGGCCCCCGAGGCTCCAGGTAAAGCGTTCGCGAAGTCATAGGCCCGGGGGGGGGGCCCCCTCAAAACGTCATTTTGGGCCCCAGGGGATCGGGAAGAGTTGAGGGGCAAAGCCAACTGTCTCACGCGCACCCCCCCCCCCCAAGTTGGAGTGGGCGGATTTTGAAAGATTCGCACGGCAGTGGGCATCTAAGAAAAACGGCGGTCGTTGGCGCCACGATGTGGCCCACGTATGGCCGGGAGGGGCTGTCCCGCAGTTGACGACCACCACTTTGTGTGCTCCTCCAATTACACATGTGTACTTAAATTCTTCGCTTGTCAGTGCACATCTCGCAGGAATGGTGGTCGTTGGCCAGCGGCCTCTGGCCCTCCCCAGGCCTTTAATTCATTTTGATTGCTGCGCACGGAACGCGAAGGACCCGAACGAGAGCGCCATGACGCACCTCGCGCGCCCGCCCCCACCGGAGGTGGATCTAGGAGAGATGCTATACGGGAAGCCAGCGAGGGAGATATGCGCGGAGGGCGCGTGGAATTGCGATCGTCTGCGCATCAGAGGGACGCCGAATATCGGGAACTCATGTTTCGCGAACGCCGCACTGCAAGTGTTGCTACGACTGGGGCCCATTCTGCAAGCAGTGTGTCGCCACAGGGACACGTGCACCGCGCGGTCGGCAACGCGGCGCGGCGCGCGTGCGTTGGCCGAGCAGGCAACCCTGATGAATTCAACCATGGCGGAGCTCCCGGCAACCGAGCGAGAATAGGTGCCGGCAGTGACAGCGACGCGATCTGGACTTTTTCAGCACGGGCGCCACAACGATATCCGAGGTACTCGGCAGTGCGATGCGAGCGAGCTTTGGAGTGCCATGGCGGAGACAATATGTCGTGCGAAGTCCGCAGCGTTGAGTAGGATGGCAGCGCGACCGCCTCGGGGCTCGTTCGTAGACGAGTGTGTGCTCGGGTACGCAGTGTGTCAAAGACGGCATTGCACGGGATGCGGTTGGGTCTCGGACCTTTCTAGACGAGAGCGGTTCATGACAATTCAGTTGTGGGAGCACGCGCAAGATGCAGAGCCCTTGTGCCTCGGGGCGTTGGTAGGTTTGCATGCGCGCGCCGCGCAATATGATTTGCCGTGCCCTCATCGCCCGGCGTTGCCGGAGGGCGAAGTGTGGGGCGTTTGCCGCGGCCCGTCGCAAGCACACGACATCCCGGCAGTTTCGCCGCCGCCGTTTCTGACTGTAGCTCTCAGTAGGAGGATGGCTCAATGGATGGACAGGATGAATGCTCGCGCGAGGATCCCCCAAGAGATGGGATGGCCAGGCAATGACAGCATCAAGTGCCGGTTCCAGGGTGCCATTTGTCACCTGGACCGTGAAAGCCATTGTGTTGCGCACTTTGATTGCCCTGGGGTAGGTGTTGTCAGGTTCAACGACGGACAGGCTTCTCGAGTGGGGTTTGCGGCGTTTTCTGGCAGTGAGAGAAAAAAGTGGACGTTGCCGTCGTAGTTTTGGCGCGGGTTGCGGCAGGCGGGACATCATCAGCAGGAGGCGGAAGCGAGGTGCCATCCGTCGACAGCTCGACTGGGACAGAACGACGCGCGAACGTTCCGCGCGCGAACGCTCAGGGCGAGGTAGCGCGAGTTGCGGAGGGCGCGAGTATGGAAGGGGCCACAAAAGGGGGCGGCAGCGGCGATGCGACGGTAAAGAGGATGCGCGTGGGCGGCCACGAGGGAGCGGACACAACTCGGGGCAGCGCGGTGAATGATGAGGGTTGGTCGGGGCGAGCCGACGGCAGCAAGAGAGAAGGCAGACTGCGAGATGGCCCACCCACGGGCGAACTGGGCGCGGGGGGTCGCTCTTGGAAAGACCTCGTGGCATCGAGCGAAAGGGGGGATTCGGCAGGGGTGGGCCCGGGTGGGCCGGCGCCGCCGCCACCCGGTACGGAGCGCGGGGTAGAAGACGCCGAGGCGCGCAAACGGCGGCGGGCCGGAGCAAGCATGGGAGCCAGCGGTAATGCGAGGAAGGCTTTGGATGCAGCGTGGAATGACAGGGGATGCAACGATGGGCCTGGGTGCGCTGGCAAATGCGCGAGACCCGCGGATGGATCGGCAGTCGATGGCGATGGGGAAACAGGTGGGCAGCAAGGGATCGACAAGGCAAAAGCGCAAAGCGTCGGAGACGGGGCAGCACGGCAAAGGGAAGGCCCTTCGGGGGGCGAGGGGGGCGGCGATGACAGCACGCCCGCGGCAGACGGCATGCAAAAGGCATTCTACAGTGTTGGTGTAGACGCGTCGTCGAAATATCCTCGGCGGGCACGAGAACTCCTCGTGGCAGCTGCTGCGGCAAGTGTGCGGCGACGCCCAACGCTGCCTGCGGATCCAGACGATCCCACCCAACCGTGGTCGCGAGCATTGGCCGAGGACATGGCTGTCGAGTTGCCAGCCGTTCACTGTGCGTTTGTGGGGGTATGTGGCAGTCGGAGAACGTAGAAGAGTTGTACGCGCACGTCCGCGAGTAGCACGGTGCCGTCTTTATGCCAACTGCCAACTTGATTCATCCTGAGGACGAGGACGAGGATCTCCGTGTCGAAGCAGCGTGCCATGCGATCGTGGCACATGCCGTTCGGGGTGGTGCGCCGCTGTCGGCGCATTCTCTACGCAGAAGGAGTTTGGCCAGGTGCGCGGAAGCAACGAAGCA